TCCAGGACTCTGTTTTTGGGGCTTTTTGCATTGTGCCTTTGGAAGGTTGATACATTTGTATTGAGTTTTATTGAGTTGTATTGAGTTGTAGCTTGAATCTAGGGGCCTGGAACGGATTAGGCCTTTTCAATGTTAAATTTGCTTCTACTTACGAAATTTTCTACTTAAGAAATGGCTGCTGGAACGGATTAATTTCGTAAGTAGAGGTTCCACTGTACTAACAGAGAATGTGACATTATAGTAGTAATTCTTTTGTTGACCAGCTGTTAATTGTACTCTTGAACATTTCCAGAATAGGCTAATCTTTATTTTATTTTGCTCCCTCTTCTAGGTGTTTCCTCTTGCATCTGATGAACTGGAGGGAGAAGGGTAAAATATGTTATTAAGTTTCCTACTTTGGTGCCAATCCTTTGTGTGTTTTTTTTTTTTTGTTGGTTTATTTAGTTAGTTTGTTTGTTATTTTGCTGCTGGTGTTTAGTTCTGGTTGAGTGGTAATCTGTCCAGGATAGACAGATTTTCATAGAATAATCTCACTAAATCATAATAATTTAAAACAAGTGTAGTTAAAAGCATGCAACAGTCAACATTAAAATAGAATTAAATGATTCATTATATTAAAACAATAAAAAAACACTTAGAAATAACAAAAAGCAGTTTAAAACCACTTAAATAAAAATAATACAGCACTCTCTTAGAGGCCCTTTTTTTAAAAAAAAAAAAAACAACCTTCAGTCAAAATCAAAAGCCTGATTGAATAAAAGTATTTTTTTTAATGCTATGGACACTCCCTCCCATGTTGCACCAGTCTAGATACTGAACCAAGGTGTTTTCATGTGTGTTTATTCTGCATCCAACATAGATCCATGGCAACAAAGATATGATCTGTATTTCCCCATATGAGTCTGCCCATGCACTGAGATGCTTAGGAAAGTCCCTTCTTTCAGCTTAACCATCTTTACAGGCATGGCTGGTGGGAACACAAGATAGGTCTTTCCCTAGGCTGTGGACCACCCTTCCTGATATCCCCCTCCTCCTTGTTCTTCATCAGTGATCAGAGTAGGAAAACAGACCCTCTTTTCCAGTGAAAACCAAGTAGATTTTCCACTTAGTTGTTCAGTGAAAGTCAAGCATGTGATGTAAACATATCTTATGTTATCTGATACTTTAGTTCC